TCTAGTCTGATATGCTTATGAATCTATGCAGCAAGCTCATCAGAGGTATCTACGATCGATGCTATGAAAGTGTTGATATCGCTTAAATTGTAGGAAGCACACAAGAGATGAGTTTTTGCTCGAAATTTCTTAAAAACTCTAATAATTACATTAAATGAGTTGTTAGAATTCTTTTCAGATTTTTAACTTCTTGGTGAATGATGCCGAATTCTCTTCAGTTTTCTTCCTCTTACGTTACGTGCTGTTCAGAGCAACGATTTTTTTCACTTGCATTTCCTGTGGCTGTTTTTTTCCGTAACATAACAGTTTTTTCTCATTTTCCCTTCTTTTGCAAATAACACAGAAAAGGAAAGAAAAGATCTATTATAATGATTGAAATATTTTTTTTGGTTTTAAAGGACAACAGAAATGACGTATATCCAATATACACTCTCACTTTCTAAAAGGGTTAGGCGTTTCTAAGTTTGCCGTCGCGACATTGAGTGAATGCTTAGTAACTGCTATATGGAAAAGATACGCTTTTGAGACGCTCTGATATAGCAGTCATCAACAATGAATATAAACAGTATGAAGTTCACTACTCTAAGAGCAATAAAAAAAACTATTACACTTTTACCGCATAACGGGTTAACTTTCCAATGTATCAATATAGGTTTTTTAAATAAACAAACATATCTAAACACTCTAGACCTCGTTGAAAATAATATGCGAAACATCCATTGTAGTTGCAGTATTTAATAACCGGTAAAACAGCTATATGATCTTAAAGGTCACCAACATTTCAACTACGCAGTGTTAAGATGGATATAAATACAACAATGAAAAAAAAAACTTATTGATAATTATGTTCAATTTTTTTCCACGTTTCTTCTCTTCAAAAAATCCCCAAAAAGCGGCACCCAGAAATAATTCCACCCACCTATTTGCTATAAATCAATCAAATCATTTAGCTCTAAAAAATCCCTTTGAAAAACTCATAAAAATTTGCATACCAGAATAATAAAAGAAACACAACGCATTTTTTTTTTTTTTTACATCAAAATAACAGCAATTGTGAATGCTGTGAAACCGCAGCTCATCTAACCGGAATATAGTAAGCCGGTAGTCAAAACAAAACAAAACAAACAACGAATTTAACATTAATAGGTGCTGACAGAGATAGATGAGTAACATTAGTGTAAATGACCAACGCGCCCAGATGGAAGAAATAAAAAAAAAAATGCAATAAAAGTGACCAAGTTATCAACAAATCCTGACCATAGAAATGAGTAATAAGATTAAATATAAACCTTTTTGTAATCGTATTTTCGCTCTTCTCTCCCCCTCTCCCCTGTCTCTTCATTCTCTTCTTAAATTTTTCCCAAATCAATGAAATTTATTGTCATTTATTCTGAGAAGAAAATTTAATGTTGTTATATGGATAAGAAAGAGCAGAGGAAGAGAAGAGTCGCTATGCAGTAACAAAATATTTGTGAAACTAAGCTTGTAAATTAAAATTTAGAAAAAATTAATAGAGAAAAAACGAGAAAAACGAAAACAAAAAAAGTAGAAGAAAGAAATAATAAAACTGAAATAAAACCGACTGAGGTAATTCTAAATAAATGCGTATGTGAAATACATTTATAAACGAAAGAGACAGAAATAAGCAACTGAGAACTACTAAAGCCAGTCGCGTCGTTTTGATAGTTGGTATATTATTCAACAACAGCACAACAGGAAACCTTACTCAGCAGGTTGCTGCCGCTGCTCTCTCCTTCCTCCCCTCAGTCCCACCACATTGCTCGCTTTCCTCTTACCAACGACACTGGACTGCCAATCGAAATATTATTTAGCTGTTGTTTGCAGAACTTGTTCCGATCTGGCAAACTGCCCGGACTCGCCTGTTTGCTATCGTGTTGCAGAAAATCAGATGATCCGTGCAATGGGAGTAGATGACAACTATACAAATAACGATTAATATATGTATATAAATGAGTAAGCAGACGGAAGGAGTGAGATGTTGCTTGCTGATCGGTTTCTTTGTTTGTTTGCTTGTTTGCATAACACTTGTTGTAGAAAACAATCTCATATAGATTTCAAATTGGTTTCTTGTTTGACTTTAGCAGTTTTGTTTTTAAACTATTGTTTTATTCTTTCGTTCTGCATAAGTTTGCATGTGCAAAAAATCTGTAGACTTTTGTTCCACTAACTTTCAGTGGCAACCGTTTTTCTCAATAGTTTTATACTTGCTTTATTCTTTTTGTAAATTGATGTTTTTTTGGTTTTCATATCAG